TTAAAGATCCATCTGATGATGTGTTCAAACGAGAGTCGAATCAACTGAGAGACCACAACTGATAGGACTAATAGAGGACATCCAACCTACTATACTTTCAAAACTAAAATTGACGATGGTTTCGTCAACCAAATGATTTAATAGTGGAAAGACCGAACAAATTAAACGATGTTTAGAACAACTGTTCATCTCACTACTAGCGGTAATCAGCTCAGTAATTTAGATCGTACCAATTTGTGTGTTTTTAATGATCAAACGTTATTTCTACTAATAATCCAAAAAGGTTCTTTCCATAATCAGAAGCTATCATATAACTTCTTTGATTCAATCCATATTTTTATTGTTGCCTCAAGGAGCAGAAAAGTATTTATTTTCCCGAAAATTTAAGGTTTTTAGAGTTAAACATTGAGGTACAATCTACTGAAATCTCAGTGTTTGGAAATAAACAAACGCAAACGAACCTTCAATTATAGATGATAGTTCTAAGGTATTCTAGTAAGATTCTTATCTTTAAACTGCTTCAGACCGATCTTATTCCATTTTACAACAATAAACACTCATTTTGGTCTGTTGAAATGCAACTGCTTGTCTAGTTAAAGTCGTTTTCCGAAAACATTTCATGAGGTGATGAATTGTGTAGTCGATGTATATAAGTTCGTTAGAGTTTATCAAGATGATCACATTATTCATTGTCCTGATATATTAATTCATAACCAGAAAGTTATTGCTCCGTTTGATTCACAAAAATATTATTGTACATTCAGTGTTACTTTTTGAAAGTTTTGGATATCTAGTTGACGGTCGTGAATATAATATGAAGTGAATAGCTAAACTGAAAAGTGCAGTGTTTCCAAAAAAATTTTACAAAACTACGCTTATGTAAATCTGAAGTAACATAACGAAATAGAATCAATCCCATTAAGTCTAGAACTTCGGCATAACACAACGAAGAACTGAAGTTCGAAGTACGCAGCATGAGGCTGTATCGTATCATTCTGATAGATTTGAACGCAACATAAAATATTTGGCTGCACAATAAGCGCAATTGTTGTTCACCACAACTCATTAACAAGTGTTCTTTAGTGCCATTCCTGTTTAATTCCTCAATTTTTCTCAGGCTAGTTCTCTATTTCGGATCTTGAAATTCGCCTCATTTTAATGGGGTTCAGAACAAGTCTTGCTCACAAAGTCATGTGATGTTTATTTAAGGTGATATTGTTGAAGATGATCTATGTAGAATGACAGGGGGCTTACTGGAGTTGGACGGAAATGGTGTGACCAACAACCAACTTCGAAGTCGGCAACTAACGCAGGTTATCCCTTGGTCGTATCAAAGTACAATTGTTGCTTTGAAGAACGTATCACACAAAAAACGTTATTATTGAAATATATTAGTGAGAGTGGGTACAGAGAACATAAAGCGATCTCCACCGCATCGGCTTGTTCATAGTGTACGATTGAATGATGCGCGTTAGTTGTCTCTGACCTTGACGTAGATCGATTAACTCTTCGACATTCAGTGACCCAACTACCGGATAATTTGGCTAGGGCTCAGTGAGATTTCAGTGGCCCTACATTGTTCGATTTCACACTAATTATATATATAGCATACCTGTTACTATTGCATCTCTTGTGGGTATTAGTGGACGTTGGAAGCAGGAAAGTGTGTGCCATCCTCACAGAAAGTTGATCGGTGGTTTGTGTTTCCCCAGTTTTATAGATCGCAAAGTTTTAGAGTTAATTTATCACCCTCAAAAATTTTTAGCACACCCCCAGCATCTTTATTTTAACGATTGAATATTACTCTGGGCGCATATAACTAAACTACTCGGCACAGAAGAGCTAAAAAAGTCCGACATGTTGGCAAAATAGTAAACACAATTTGTTAGAGTTTTTGGAAGTAATGAATTCTGCCCAATCATACTTAAATTCAGTTTTCTGACACCTAGACACCCATTTTGGTTATTTTTCTACGCGTTGTGAACTTAGATTGGTATATGCATCGCTTGTGGTTGAATCACAAAACAATAAGAGTATATCAACCATCAATAAAGATTCTGTTTACCATTATTTTCATTGCCGTATAAGCTTTCCATGAAATCCCAGGTATTAAAGGGTATTGTTATTGCTTTTTGAGTGTTTTTAGCCAGTAATCATCCACAAAAGCTTGTTTTCTGTTGCACTGTTCGCTCATACTGGTCTCAACAATTGATGCAAACGTCAACGGATAGTGATTTTGGCCGTCAGTATATCAAAAGCGACAACCATGACGCCATTATTTTTGTCTCCCAAATCAAGTATCATTACTTGGGGTAAAGATTTGCATTACAAAAATTCGACTTGTCTCAATTTTCTTTCACAGAATGTCTATGTCTCACACAAAGAAAAGTAAGCCTTTTAACATCTAGAAATTAACTAGGAATAAAGCTTACATTATTTGAACCTCCAAAGGTAGTATCTAGTATTACCAAAGAATACTTGACATGGTAGAATTCGGGAATGTTAACACCTGTATCCTTTAAATATCTTTCTCGAATCACTTTCTCCAAATCAGTAGAAGATTTAGAATGGGAAAGCAAGTAGTCGAGAAAATTTTTATTGAAGGTACATGATTATAAGACTGTTAATCTACCCATAGAACATAAAGGAAGAGAATTTAGCGTGTTATTAAAAATCTTACAGGTGATTTACACCCTTAATTCACCTATGTAAGTTCGTTAGACTAGTAAATTCATCACCAGCGACCAAGGCAAACAGTAAAACATTTTTATGACCTTAGTGGTGAATTCACCGATACAGTATGTAGTGGATTATTACATTGCAACTTACATAATGACATTTTCAAAGGGTTCCAAAACAAAACTAGGATTTATTTGGTTACGAGCTAAGCATATTTAATTTGAAACATAATCCATATAAAAGCCAATAATTTAGCCACGAGTATCTTATAAACCTGATAACGACATTTCAAAGACAATAGAACTCAAGATAACTATAGGCTAACACGTAATATGGCCAAGATTCGCATTTGCCTTCTCAAAAAAGACAGAACAAGGTGGATCGATAGCACGAACAGTGGAAACATTGTGGTAAAAAAACAGAATACTTTCGGCCATTGTCAACGCATACGAACAAATAAAATATACAATTATTAGGACCTCAAGTATACACAAAACGAGGCTATTTCATGTAAAGATGGATAGTGGCTAGCAGTGGAATGCATTTGATACTCGTCAATTTAATGTACCTGCATCTCAGAGTTGATGTTCACTCTGGGGCTCGAACCCAGTAACGTTCGTTTCAAAAGCCATCGCGTTCTCCACTTAGCTACTGAGTCCTGATAACCATCTGCTTGTGTAATGGGGTGAATTCACATAAGACTTCGTTTGATGTATGATTCACTGTCATAGCCTTTTTTATCCTAAAACTATTGTAATTTAAACATAGTCTTTTGTACCCTATTTCCTATGCTAATCTCCAGTTTGGACATAATTGTATTTTCCTAATTATTGTACGTTGTGGTTGGGTAATTCGTCTATTTGTTCAAGTATCTCTCTTTACACTGATCTGGAAATCGGGAACCAGATCGGAATTGTGAATATATTCGTGCGGTGTTCCAGTTTACTTATCTTTCTCACTTGCATGCTTGTCAGTCAGTCGTGTGATAGGATAGTTTTCTTCTCCCTACCCCATTTCGAACTCACGCATACTAGCCTCAAGGTTAAGCTGGCCAGCCTATCGGGTCAAGGTCACAATCTAGATTAGATAAATTATCCTCAGCACCAAAAGTGGGTTAACAAATCAAGAATTTAACACGGACTACCACTGATTATATTGAATGACAATTTTGTTATGCCACTTATAATGGATAGAACTATTTATGGTTGTATATTAACAAGTTATATAACATTTATAAATAGTTCAAGACCTAATTAAAATGGTTTGAATAGTTTTTTCTGGTTAGCGTATTTTTAGCGAGTTAGTTTTCTACGGGATGGGGTCGCTAACCCCATGCCCAACCCTCCTCCTTTATCCGGGCTTGGGACCAGCAGGAGCCCCCGAAGGGACTCCAGGCGGAGTTTTAAGACTTAAATGCATCAACCTAAATTTTATAAACAACCAGTAACATCCATGTTCATCACCATCATAATTAGGAAGGTGAGTCAAATGTAAAACGTCTTAGAGCTCAATTTTTTACATTAAACTCTGACTGCGGTCTTTTATTTGACTTGATAAATGATGAATTTCATTTGCCTGAGTTTGCATTATTACAAATAACCACATTAATCTGACTAAACATTCACCCGGATTGTAAGTAGAAAATACATCAAACTACTAATAAACTGGAATAAAAGTTACGTAACAATCATAAACACATACATTATGCAAATCATCAAATTGCATCACGAGGCAAACCCTAACTTGGAATATTGAATGGAAGCGGATAAGAAGGCCTTAGAACACCTTACGCTTGGAAATAGAATCAGATATGAAGAGGATGAATAACAACTGGAAAGGGTTGCCCAGTACAGGGTTGGATGGAGAATGTTGGTGAGCGGCCTATGCTTCTTCACGACGAGTAACAGGTGTAAGTATGTAGGTAAGTAAGTAACAACCACAAACACTACAAAAATTGGCGTGAGATGGAAAAAACAAAATTCTATTAATAGGCTGCTAAACAACGATATCCCAAAATTCTCGACAATATGTAATATGTGCGCGAAAAACCATGGTTTAACGTCTTAACCGCCCTGATTTACTTAATTTGTCAATTTGAATACAAATCTAGTCATCTGGTAGTATGGTGACACGTGAACTACTTGAATTTGGATTTCATCTCATACAGATCAATCGATAGTCACTATGAAGAAGCAAATAACGATTCAACAGAGATCAGTTTATAGTAAGAAATGAACTTATCGAAAGTACAAATATATTCCATCAGTAATTGTACATTGATATTCACAAACAATTTAAATAATAATAATGATAATATTGTTTTAATTCTTTATTTGTTTCCTTCTGATTGAAGTTGTCCGCGTCATTCGTATTTTACTGCACCATTTTGTTTTATACGGATTTAAACAATCTTTTGCTGCTTCACCACGTGATCTTCTAATGATATCATTAGTATTTGGATAAAATTTTGGATTCCATAATATTTTCTGTTTTAATTTATCACTATTTTGTATAAAGAAAACATGTTGGGAAATTTTATGGAAAAGTAAAAGTTATAAAATTGATTATTTACATGATTTGTAGTTGACCAACTGCATTCAGTCACATAAGTGATTGCTGAAGTATGAGTTTTATTAAGGAATTCAAGGAATTCAACACTAGTGAATAAATAAACATGATATTATCAGTATACGGGTTGGGGAGATTATTAAGTTATTGATTAAGATCATGAACCGATTGATGTTAGATCACTATTGAAAACCTGAAAGCACTAAACGGCCATTTCGTCCTACTGTGAGACTCTTCAGTAGTGCACATCCACATTCGCGCCTCGCGGGATTTGAACCCGGAGCCTTCAGTCTCGCGCGCGAACGTTCAACCTACTGGACCATTAAGTCGGCATCCAACGGTGTTAATATCTAACCCCAACCAATCCTCGAAATCGCGAAACGTTCGTGCGCAAGACTGAAGGTCAGTCAGTCAGTCAGTTAAAACGTAGGACCAGGCACATATGTGCATCGGTCCAAGTTGCCACACCTCATTAGCACAGCAAGATAAACACCAAATTCATAGAAGCAATCAACTCAATGGTGTAATATATAAATGAGATATTGCATATAAGGATATAGTACAGTAAGAACGTTAGTTCGTAGAAAGAAAGACATGAAATAATTTTAGTCTCATTGTTTAATGGAAGACACAGAAGTCACGGTTTTACTCTTGTTATCTGTTGCATGGCATTTTCCAACCTCTCCATGTAACAGTATGTGGCTATCTGAGAGACTGAAGGCCCTACAGAGGGCTGAAGCAATTGCTATTTGGATCAAAAAGCCAGAGCTTTGCATCCAAAAGAAGTATGTTCAGCCACTCCTTTTACCCTGGCCCTCCATGGCCGGTGACGACTGATCCACCAAATGAGGTGGAAGTCCGCAAGGAACTCCAACTCTTGAAACGTTACAAATCACCGGGCCCAGACGACTTACCTCCGGCTCTTTTTAAAGATGGTGGTGACTTTTTGACTAAGGAACTCACGACGTTGTTTACAAAGATCTGGGAACTAGAGAGTGTACCAACGTCATGGAATGAGTCGACAGTTGTCCCTATCTTTAAAAAGGGTTCAAGTCGTTCCTGTAACAACTATCGGGGGATAAGTCTACTTCCGATTGCGTCCAAGCTATTGGCTTCCGTCATACTTCGTAGGTTGTTCAAAACCCGAGAAGGATTGACTCGCGAGGAGCAGGCTGGGTTTCGTTCTGGTCGAGGATGTATTGATCATATCTTCACCCTCCGCCAAGTGTTAGAACACCGCCATACTTATCAAAGGCCAACAATCGTAGTGTTTCTTGATATCAGGGCTGCCTTCGATTCGTTGGACAGAACTGTTCTCTGGGATTGTCTATTGAAGAAGGGTGTGCCTGAGAAGTTTATTAACATCCTAAAAGCCCTATACACAAACACCTCAGGCAGAGTGAGGGCATACAACCACCTTTCTCCACTATTCCATTCGAGCAGTGGGGTTAGGCAGGGTTGCCCAATCTCACCATTCCTCTTCAACTTTGCCATCGATGACATTCTCGAAACAGCTTTGACGGATGTAAGTAATGGTGGTGTGGATCTGTTGTCTGGAGAAAGACTTCTCGACCTTGAGTATGTGGATGATATTGTCTTACTGTGCGAGAATGTTCAAGCCATGCAATCCACACTTAATCAGTTGGCAATCAGTGTCCTTAGGTATGGTATGTGCTTTTCACCTTCGAAGTGCAAAGTTCTTCTACAAGACTGGCAGGATTCCAATCCTGTACTCACTCTGGATGGTGAGCAGATAGAAGTAGTCGAGAAGTTCGTGTATCTAGGTAGCTGCATAAGTGCTGATGGTGGTGTGAGTGATGAGATCAATGCACGCATAGTGAAAGCCAGAGCGGCTTATGCCAATCTGGGCCATCTTTGGCGCCTTCGTGATGTTGGTCTGGCTGTAAAAGGTCGGATCTACAACGCGACGGTGAGAGCAGTGTTGCTCTATGCTTGTGAAACCTGGCCTCTCCGAGTTGAGGATGTTAGACGACTCTTTGTGTTCGATCATCGTTGTCTCTGAAGGATTGCTGGCATCCAGTGGCAACACCATGTCAGTAATGCAGAGGTTCGGCATCGACTGTTCGGTCACAGAGACGATAATGAAATTGGTGTCACCATCTTGAAACACCGACTTCGGTGGCTTGGACATGTTCTACGAATGTCGTCCCAGAGAATTCCTCGTCGTGCATTATTTGCCGACTCTGGGACTGGTTGGAAAGAGCGGAGAGGTGGTCAGTATATGACATGGTGTCGTGGTATGAAAGAAAGCTGCAAAGGGCTGGCTTGTGTTGGTCCTTCACGACTCCCTGGCTGGGGTCCGAGAGATGGTGCAACACAGTGACTAGGGACGTTATCAGATATGACTCAGAGTAGAAGCCAATGGCGATCCTGCTGTAACCTTCTTTTACTTTCTTCATAAAAAGTGGTTGTATCTTCCTTAACTGAAAGATCTCTTCTGATTGTACCTTTCCGTTTCCCCCACCATTGCTCTCTCTCCCTCCCTTTTTTTTATAATTCCCCACGTTCATTACTTTTTTTTCTCTTTTCTCCTCTTCAAATTATCATTGTTTTGTGTGGCGCATATATATTTGGTGCCCCCCTGTACCAATATTTATGTGTTCAAATAAATAAATAAATAAATAAATAAATTTACCCTGGCCAACTTTGGGGCCAACTAGTTAATAATCAGTTTTATAATATGGTGACGTAATTTGATTAATCTTCATTTTATGTTCCAAACCTATCATTATTGTTATTATTATGATTATCTTTACGACTGTGATTATTATTATTATTAATATTATTATTATTATTACATTTGATAACCGTTTTGAGGAATTTATTCAATATCCACCCCTAAATCTATTATATCTGACCTAATTCATATTATTCCACATATTACGTAATTTCCGATTTTTATCCAAAAACTTTTCCTCTCACCCCATGTTGACTATATTTATTCTGATTATTTATCTCACATTTCAATAGTTGAAATCATGAATCAATTGAAGCTAGACCATCATGGAAAACCTGGAAGCACTGGACGGCCGTTTCGTCCTATTACGGGACTCCTCAGCAGTGCGCATCCACGATCCCGCCCCCCGCGGGATTCGAACCCAGGACCTATCAGTCTCGCGCCAAGCGCTTAACCAACTAGACCACTGAGCCGGCATCCAACGGTGTTAATGTCTAACTTCAACCAATCCACGAAGTTGCGCCACCGTCACCATTGTCTTCAGTGAGTAGATATCTCACAACAGACTGATTCAAGTTACCACTTCATATTAGTCAGCTAGCTCCAACATTAACAATCTGATTTGATTTTATATAACAAATAACAATTCTTGTTTTACTTATCACAAATTCCAAATGATGTACTCTGCCTTAAATCTGGTCAATTCTATGGATTATTAATTTGGATTTATAATTATAGAACCTGATGAGAAATTATTGAAAAGAATATTCTTCATTCATATAATTGTGTTTTAAATATGACATTGTTGACCAATCATTATGAATACCACAGTTCTACCAAAGATTATTTGTCACTGATCCAATACAGTGAGAACGTCACTGCATTTGACAATAAGCGACGTATGTTTAAATGATATACGAAATACTTATTCCGTCAAGATTATAGATATCCACTGTTGACGAGGCTAAAATAGCATAAATTCCATTTTCAAGGATTCCAAATATCTCGATATTGTTTTATTTGAATCTTCCCAATGATGTTTAGGACTCAAATTGTTCAGTCTCTTATTGGCATATGTGCATACTGTGCGTATGCCTCGATATTGCCTTAATTTACAAGCATTATAAGCAAAGATGGATAGTGGCTAGCAGTGGAGTCCCGGAGTGAACATCAACTCTGAGATGCAGGTACATCCAGCTGACGAGTCCCAAATAGAACGAAACGCGCGTCCTGGATTCCACTGCTAGCCACTATCCATCTTTGTTTATATTCCCAATATCTGTCTCCAATCACCTAATGTCAAGACGGTGTTTTCAATATCGAGTTATTTACAACTGTGATCATATATTAGATGCAACTGTTTAACTTGATGGGTAGATCTCATACAACATTAGCTAATACAAAACAGGAAATTGACTAATATTTAGTAATAATTCAGTATAAGTAAAGTATTCCAACCATCAAGTACAGTTGTGGTGTGAGCTACTTATATCCACATAAGTAGTATTTAACGATAGTCAGGAATTGAATGTATTTCAGTAGAAGATCGAAAAGGAAAGAATGGGAACAGAAAGCAGATGGTGTGAAAATGCATGAACAATGAAATCTAAGACGATGGACTGATATTTGCAAAAGAAACAGTCAAGCTTGAGACAATGGAGATTGATATTTTGCAAATTAACTATTTACTGTATGCTGCTCAGATTTTACCAAAATGTTCTGTAATTTTATGATCAAATATATTCGATTGTCCCCACTTATGTTCTTGTTCACCTCACAGCCATTTAGTGTATACAATTTTGGAAGTATTTAATTAGAAACCTGGTGAGTAATAACGAGGGTAATACATTCAAATTACGAAGAAAATGTGTTTCATGAACACCAGCAAAAACTTTGTTAAAGCTATTCATCACAAGTAGTGAATAAATTCATCATCAAAACACTCACTTTGTCAGTAACAATTTACACATTTGACCGTCATTTGACTGATATATTTCTTGAGCTTCCGGTCGTATTCGTGGAGTCTGTTTTGGTATCAATTCAGGATTCATCGAGTGCAAGTTACTATTATTCAGTATTCCACGATTTCTTTTAGCATATTCAATTCCCTAAACAAATAGGTCACAGAGTAAAAAGAAAACTCATTTCACTCCACAATTAATTGTTTTGTAATGCTTTATCATTATTACTTGTAAGATTTCATTGTTGTTTATATTTAGGATTGAAAATGATCATTCTTTGCTGAGATATGACATATTTGAATCAATACGACAATAATGGATACTTTATCATACAGCTAATCGTGAATCAATATATATCAGTTTCTATCCATCAATCAAACAACCTATTGCCAAAAAGCTTAATCTAAACCATAGATAAGTGAAAGAAATAGATCGAGACCCTTAAATACGAACTTGTTGGTATCTGATATCTGTCAACATGGCATATATTCAAATTGAAGGTAACGATTGTATCTACCAAATACCTGATCCGAGTCACTCACCAGGTTCACAGTAAAGTAAAACAATAAACAAGATAAATGTACGTTTTATGTAAGATATTTCAAAGTATTTACATAATAAATACACATAGTTGTAAAAACACTTTGTTAAATACATACTTCAAACTTAGTACGGGGACCATTTCCACACTGTTGCATATCCAGAGAAAATGTAGCTTCTGATATTGCTTCTGTAATCTTATCCATATCCGCTCCAGGATATGACTGTTTAGGCTGAATTAAACCGAATCTTTCAGCCATTCCAGCTCCTTCACGTGCAGCATTTGCTGCTGCTGATTGAGGAACACTTCGAGGAGCAATTTTCATATTGACATCTTTTAGTGGCAAAGTAGAAGGAAGTTTCTCACCTAAAATCTCGGCCATTTGTGCACCTGAATGATCAACTCTATCACTGTCATCATTTAAATAATTAGATGGTTTGTGAAAAGTTTGTATATCATCATTTGACTTTCTTGTAAGACCACTCTTACTAAAATGAATAACAAAGAAATGATGAATATAACAATGTAACTATAATTTATACAATCCGGTTATTATTATAAACCAGCTAAAAAGTAAATTATAAAAGTCTTGGACCATCGTCCCTCAGCGATGATTCATTTCTATAGCTTTTATACACGAACGATTTTTGTATATTAATGTTCATCGTTTGGCGACAGAAGTTTATATACAACCTTCATCTTTTTCCTCTGAATATTTGGATTGTTGTACAGCGACTGACGCCGATCTCATAACACATTCAAGGGAACAAAACTTCAAACAACAATTAACACTGAGCAAGAACAAAATAATTCATTTGCAATTCATTAATCAAAGAATGTAGCGTCGGTTGCTATGTTGAATCCACACAGCTTATTCTAGTTTCTGGAAAATCCAATTTATTCATTCATCTTGAGCTACATTTTAACCTTATTAATTATTCACCTTGACTATTTTTATATGAGTGTTTTATATATGTACACTTCTTATCTCATTCGCCACATGTCTGTAACCTATTCTTATCTGGCTATGAATATTGATTAACACTTGATTAGATGGGAGTTGACTCTCACGCCTTCTCTACTGCGAATGATTTCATTTCACTCTGTTCACTTCGCTTTCTTCGTTTCGTCCCTCTGATTATCTGTTCAGATCAATCACTGTATGAAATACACGTATTCAAAATTCACTCTCGTATTTCATATGTATTTAATTGCGTTATTCACCGATGCGATTTAAGTCAATGATTACATACAAGGATAGTTGACATGCGTATTGATTGCACAATGTTACAGGTTGATGGAAGTTGAACATATGAATCACTGGATGAAAACTTAATATAAAAGTGAATCTTATACTTCATGAATTCATCACTTCCAAGGTCGTGGATATGAACACCACTGTACGGTCTTGGACAAAGATGAGATCAATATACAGTGTAGTCTATTTCTTGGTTGAAGTTAGACATTAACACCGTCAGATGCCGGCCAGCTCAATGGTCTAGTGGCTAAGCTCTCGCGCGCGAAACCAGTAGGTCCTGGGTTCGAATCTCGCAGGGGGCGAGGTCGTGGATGCGCACTGCTGAGGAGTCCCACAATAGGACTAAACAGCCGTCCAGTGCTTCCAGGTTTTCCATAGTGATGGTCTAGCTTCAATTGACTCCTGATCTCAACCATTGATATTTCTTAATAGTCAAATGACTAATATACCGTTAAAATATCCCGAAATAATTAACTTTTAAAACCTGTAATACAGTACAGAAGTAAGGTAATGTTAGCCGGATGTAGATTCGATTAAAGCATGTTCCATGCATGATTGAGTTGGTGCGCGTTGATTAAATAAGAATTAGCCAACGAGAGTTGGCCAATACTTAGAGAAGACTCGAGCATCCTCTAATGTAAAAATTATAAATATACTAGAGTTTCTCCTACTGTGCTTCTTACTTTTATCTACCCTTGTCATTTGGAATATAATCTCTTTCCTGTTCAACCGTGTTCTATGATTTGGGGACTTGTTGAGTGAATTGATGTCCAAGACTAACTAGGCAATAGGAATAGCTGAGTTATAACCGTAAGAGAGAATTATAACAGGTATATTTAAAACTGTCAATTATAAATCAACATACCATGACCATCCTTGATTTAAAATATGTTCCATTAAACCAGCTTCTTTAATTCTATCACGTTGCCAATGTGTATAAGCTTCATTTGATGGTAGAGAACGTATTGGATTATGTGGTTCCATGATTGGTGTATTATTTTGTTTAGAATCAAGTAGAATACTAACACCAATACCATTTTGTCCTTTATGTAGATTATCTAACGCCTTAAATCAGTCATATCAATAAATATGCATTGAAATAAGTAAATATATATTGAACATTTAGCTATAAATAAGTTAAACCATGTACTTAGTCATCCGATCAGTTGGTCATTATCAATGTAATATCTGATATATACGTGTATTGGTTCAATTCGCCACCTCTTATCAGGATACTAAGATGAAATTAACAAAAGAAATGGTTGATTAGCACAACTAGTAACTATATCAGTTGTCATAGAGACGATTAGGAATAGACAAGATGATTCGAGAATAAAGAATGTATTGATGGAATAAAAATTGTAAGCGAATATTAAAACTCAAGATTTAAGATAATGTGTAAATCCACATGCGCCATTGCAAATGATTCTAAGCTTTGTTGATGAGGGCGAAGACAAACTGCAACACACATACAGCACGAAAAAATGAAGAAGAAGAAGAAGAAGAATTGAAGACAATCTTTCAAAAGAACAGCTACTCAATCAACTTCATCAAAAAATACAAACCGCACATATCACCAAAAACCAAGTCAAGCACAGAAATCAACAAAAAGATCACCATACCATACATAAAAATCATATCAGAAACCACAACGAAACCTGTTGTAAACCTTCGGAATAGGTGTTGCATACAAACTGACAAGATCACTACAATCAATCCTATGCAAATCAAAGGATGAAATGACAAAACAAGATAAACCAAACATCATCTAAAAAATAAATTGTGCCAACTGCGAAAAACATCCTCTTCATCTTTGCTTGCATGAACGTAAATTAGCAGTCAAACGTCATGATATCTCCTCACCTATATCAATGCATGCGGACAATTGCAGACACACACTTGATTGGAAAAATGAGGAGATTTTGGATATAGGTAATTTCAAAAACACCAGAGAATTTTTAGAAGCTTGGCACTCAGGTTAATCAGCAATAAACAAGTACATTGAAATTGATTCAATTTATCAACCAATCAGAAGAATTATGCACAAACATAGGAAAAAAACGATGGGTGATAAAACCAAAACAAAGAAGTCAACAATGACAGGTTTAAGATCAACAAGAATCAGTGAACATCGAGGTCTACGGGAAAAGCTGTAAATCATATGTGCAGAAATTCGAACAATTCATTTCTACCTGAAGTTTGTCCTGATGAGGTCGTTTAGAAGAACGACGAAATCTCCACGACTAAGCCATTCAGCTTAAAGAACAAAACTCTATCAAAAAAATGCATGCTATCACCCTGAATTTCGGTATTCACCGAGAGGTTGCCCTCTTCTTAATTCTTCTATGGTGTTCTGCACTCAAGATCATTATTTTTACTATAATAAACAGTATTTTTGACCTATTTTGGAGAATAATAAAACTTTTCTAAAAGTCATATCTTTTCTCTTACTTCTTCTAGTATGGATTATTAATATTGAGGTATGGTTAGTTATTAGTTAGTCGTTCAATCCATATGATTATCGTAGATTTCGTCTTGTATTAGAATTCAGTCAGTTGTAACGTAACACCAGGCACATATAAGCATTAGTCTAAGTCGCCATACCGCATTAGCACAACAAGATGCACACCGGATTCATAGAAGTGGTTAATTCAGTGGTGGTAATATGTAACAGAAAGATTTCATATAAGCACATAGTACAGGAAGAAAGAATCAGATCGTAGAAAGAAAGATATAAAGCTATTTTAATCTCATAATTTAACGAAAGACAAAGGGTGTATACATCTACATTATAATGATCGATTCTGAGTCATGTCACCAAGAGTTTCCAACCATTGGTTACGATAGTCACGCGGACCCCAACCAAGTAGTCTGCATCTACCAACATAGTTAAGACTAGAACTTAGTGACTTAATGGACTGATGCCACGTTTTGGTTTGGCCGCTTCTTACTTTCTTCCAACCATCCCCAACACCAGTTAGCATGGCACGTCGTGGTAATCGGTGTTCAAACATATGTAACACGTGGCCCAACCATCTTAGTCGATGAAGATTTACAACCTTACCAACTGATTTTCCATCATTCCCTCACTATTAAGCTCTTTTGTTCGGGTCCACCACAAGTTATGACAGTAATAATTCAAAAATTTCTAACAAAAACGTTACTGAGGTAAATATAATGAAATAAAGTGGATTTACTACTATCTTTTACAGAGCAAACAAATTTATTTAAGTCATTAATTGGTTTTAATTAAATATAGAAAACATAAATTTAACGAGTAAAGATGATCAGACAAAACCTTAGAAACAGATTGACCATTGAAAGATAGTTACTTGGTAAGTAAATTTATGATATTAGTTCGGAAGCATAAAATTACTTATGTATTAATTTGTGTGTAAGATCTGCATAGAATAAATAAATTAATAGATGTATTTGTTGTCTGGTAAACCAGATCATTATCATATTTTATTTTTATTTATTTAAACAAATAAACATTTGTACAAAGAGGCACCGAACAGATATGCATCACGGAAATACTTTGGATTATTTGAGGGCTAGGATAATACCCAAGTGCCCTAATCGAAGCTGGTGGTTTTTAAGGAGGCCACTCCTCGACCCTTTGTCCTTAAAGTCTAACCCACAAGGCAGTGCAGCAACGTTAGGGGATGCTGTCCTATGGTAGCCGGTGACCAACAACAGGTTCATACGCCATTCATCCTTTAAAACCCTGGAGCTCATGTGGAGCATTGGTTTGGAATATGGGTCTTCCAACTCCCTTAGATGGATCCTTTATATCCATCAACCCATTTACAGCGCCAGACATCCGCTTTCCATCCTCTCAATTTCGTAAACGAAACACCACCGCAAGAGGGACGTTTTTGGAAGTGTATATATACATGTGGCCATATGAGAGCATTTTCAGAGAGAGTGAGAGAGAGAGTGGACTCTTTCTACGCTCAGCTGTTTCAGAACATGGTAACATGTTAAAATAGTGAACATTAATATGGGTTTATTTTTAATTAAATAGTAAAAGAAACAAACCTCTCCCCGTGGACAACGGATGTGTACATCTTTTTGGCATTCTATGAAAGATTCTTCTTTGCTAATTTGTTTAAACCATTGGCTACCGTATCCGCGTACATAATTTTCTAAGCTTTCTTCACCTCGTAAAGATATACCAGGTTTGTGAATTAAAGTTGGTTTTGTTAAATTAGGACGTAGTATTCTGTAATACAAAACAAACAGTTAATCAACATAATAAATTTTAAATCTCTTAGTTTCGACGTGAATTAACTGTTTAATTAAGGTGAAATACAATAGTTCCAGTTTTAGAGCTTACTGAAAGCAAACTACCGATTATTGATTCGTTTGAACAACTACTAAAGTAATTATGAAGTCACCTTGTGGATATTTATAAATTAATTGACTATCATACTGCATCAAGTAACGACTATCAGCCCTACAAAGCCTGGATATATAATGTGGTTTAAAATGAAGCATGTAATCTAGAAGTGGAAAGTGTGTGTATTTTGAAGGCTTTTGATGATAAAAAGTCTTTAAAATATTGGTCTTGTTTCATGAAATGATCAAGTAGACAATGTTATGTTCATGTATGGAGTAGTAGACAAAGGTGGTTAGGATACGTATTACGCACGCTCACCCAACGTTTGTCTTGAAGAATGGTGTCTGGTAGTGCGGAAGTTAGCTTTAGGAAGGCTGAAAATGATCAAATCAAAGTGTAGCATCAGTACATGAAGTCGTTAACAAGTGAACTGACGCATATAGGTATATCCAGACTACCTAGTTGAGATGATAGTAACAACTGCTAGAAATTGGGCGACAAGAATCAGAATTATTCATTCTCTTTTCATCTTCTTATGATTCTTAAGTTTTGTTATTCCTCCAAACACATTTATTCAGTTTGCCTTTCTTACCACATTCTTATTAGTTAGTCTTTCTTATTATCACTACTACAAAAATATTCAAATTCTTTTTCGTTATATTTATCTCGTCTGACTGATGTGGTTTGAGTACTTGGGCTAACTCATACTTGTAAAGAACTTCCTATTAATTATGTCCGACTGACTGAAATGCCCTAAACGGAAACCAATATAGTGTGTGAATTCAGGTAATGAATGTAATTGTACACGCTATTTAAGTGACTCAGTGCTCTCCCTCAGTTTTGTGGCATCTAAACATTCTTTTAATTCGAAGTTTAATTTGCCAAGGTGAATGTAAACGGTTAATAACATTGATAGATTAAACCACATTAGCTACAACATAATAAATTATCGTATCGTACATTTTATTCCTAACACTTATATGCCTCTTCTTACATCCCACTACTCAGGCACTTATAAATAAAATCTATGATCATCGTAGTTGTTGTGCATGTTTTATAAATGACAGATGAAGTTCTTATCCCACCAACTAACGCTCACTAGTATGAAGATGGAATCACTTGACAAATCTTATAAATAATCAAAAACACAACATATATTCCTTTAATAAGTAGTAATGTTTCTAAATCACTTGATTTGATTAACTAACTGATTTTTTAGCCTGGTAAGTCATCTAATGATCACAATAAAGAGTTAGGGGCATCAATTTATCTGTTGACAGTTCCTTTAAAATATCACAAGATTCAGCCTCCTTAGTAGCTAATGAAAAGAATTAAAATATGTATACAAACATAAAAAAACGGGATGTATACATATATAAGGCTTACTGAGACATCTGAGGTGATTCTGAAATGTTTGAGTTACCGTTATCAACATCATTTGAAGTTATTGATGTTCTTGATTTTCTCCATGTCTTATTTAAAATACTTGGACCCTGACTAGGAAATACATTGGACTGATGATTACGTCTTGCATTTTCAATAGCTTCATCTAAACGTAGTCTTATAGAAGGTGGTGGTAGACCTTGATAAGTAAAAGTTTTGAGTTTTTTCGCTGGACGGCATGTTGATTTTAGTCTTCGAGGAGGTCGTAAATTCCCGACTGATTCTAAAAGTTGCATATTCCAGTCTAAAAAATCACAAATTAAATTTTACAACACTTTTAATCAGTACATTTAGGTGATTACCGCGAAGATTACTGTTATATTAGAACACTCACGGGATCTTCTGGAAGAAAGCTTGTTTCATTTATGAAAAGGTAGTTCTCCAAAAACTATCTTATGACTAACAAATGTCTGTAGAGCATTAAATTTTATAAACTTGGTTTTTATTAATCTTAGCTTGAATATCTATCGAACAAAAAAGAAACAGAAGTGAAACCGTCTGTATGCTTTAAGAAAAGTAGTTTTTAATGCTCTGAACAAGGCGAACAGGATCTCCGTTCGTCCAAATTAAATAGTTTAATGTATATGAAAACGGTTTGATTCGTTTTAAGTACCTTGTAACAGTGTTCTTCCGCCTCCATTACATATCAAACACCGCATCAAATGGAGAAAAATTGTTTCGCGAAATAAAGTGTGCCAATCACCACAGTCTCCAGCTTATAAGAATATATACATATTTTGGTTTTCCCCTTTTTTGGTTGCATTATATCCATGTGTATATACACAGTCAGCGCTGAATAGGAAAAAGTGGCATTTATAAATGAAGTTTAGGGCTATAGTCTTGAAATTATTGTATGTATGACTTGGAAAAGAACATAAATTTGTCGATGGCATCCAAAGTGAATTAGTACAAACAAATTTCAAATCTCAGTGTAATAAATTACCAGGAATTTAAAAAATTACTGTAATAATTTCATGAACTTACCTTATAGAGATTCCAGGATAAAAAACGCCGGACAAATTCGGTATTCAATGCTTAACAAATAGTAAACCAAACAACCTTTTAAGAACCTTGTGGGCTCGACCATAAAAATTTATGACCTTGACATTTTGAAAAAAGTAAATTAATTGGTTACTCAGCAACAGGTTGAGTTCTCAGTAATATGGATATCGATACGCTAAGCTTGTGACAACCATATCAGCTTGTTTTTTAGTGATCTAGATTCCCCTTGAAAATGTTTACTGCTGAGGCGTTTCACTCATCGATCACTTGATGAAAAAAACATGTTACCACTGAGTTTATTCGATTGGAGTTTTCAAGTCCTCTTGCTGTAGCTGCGGAAATTATTGGTTCTGGGGATTAAAATAACACACTGAGTTGGTCCCACAAGCTGAACACGCTCGAAAATGTTCACATCCTTAATTAGGCATGCTTGGTTCCAGTACTCTAGCTGTTGCCTCAGATTGGTGGAGTATAAAATATGTCAAAACTTGTGGTTCTTGTAGGAACTAATGACTCCGTTGTATTTCATTGCCCATTGATTGCGAATTTCAGATTCAAAACCCAGGGTCTTTTACAAAAGACTAAAAGAACGCCATAATAAGCCCTGTCTTCAAAACAGGTACGAAATATAAACCTGAGAATTACCGACCCGTTAGCTTAACTAGTGTGGTTGTTAAAATCTAAAAAAAGATTATTCAAAAGGAGCTGTTTAAGTAATTTGATGAAAACCGGATCATTTCGGAAAACAGCGTGGTTTTAGAACATGTTATTCCTAACTCACTAACCTATTAGTGGCCCTTGGAAGCTGGTGCGCCCTTAAGGACCAAAAGTTACCTGTAGACGTTGACTTCAGCAAAACTCTTAACAAAGTTCCGCACATCCAGCTGTTATATAATTTGAGAAATTTCAGGGTTGAAGGCAACCTATTGATGTGGACGAAAGACTTCCTATTTGGGCGCCCACAAAGGGTACGAGTGAACTCGGAGTTGGTAAACTGTGTTCAGTGGAGTGCCGCAGGGGACAGTTTTGGGGCCAGTGCTATTTTTCTTTTGAGTATAAATGACTTTATTCGTCTACCATCACCATCGGTCTTGCTGTATGCTGACGATGTCAAGATATGGAGAGCGATACGAAGTAAGGGCGACAGCTTAGAATCGTGTGGTTCATAATAGAGCTGTCAGACAACGGAAAATTTCAGATTCGAACTGAATTCCACGGTCTGCAGTGATAGCTGAGGGTTAGTCAGAGTTTACCACTCGTCTTTTGACTAAAGCGCGGACTACTGTTCCAGCAGTAATGTCCTTGATAAGTACTGCTTTTGGTCATCGATTATCCATTTAATCTAGTAAGGACCCTACCAAATCCAGATAAACATGGTCGAAACGAGCGTCGGCGTTTTGAATGAGCCCTAGGTACGTTTGTTGTGTTTAATCATCTTAGATTTCTTTCAGCCTACGCTGAAGCGTGCCTGTTCCCTCGCGACTATATTCATACCAGACCAACGAAATCGCTCTGCTCTGAGCTTGATGTTTGCACGAACACTTAGGTGAGAAAGCTTGCACAACATTTTTAAGACGTTGCGTCGATAAAGTTTTGGCACGATTTGACGATTATTACCCACATACGTGTCGCATAATAAGATTCATTCACCTGTTCCCATCTGTTTAACACGTAGTTTCAGGATTGCTAAAAATCAGTGTCTTCTTTTGGAACTGGGTGAGTTAAAGAAGATTGATTCCTTGGAAATTGTTCAAGAAAGTCCAACGGGACAAAGTCTCTGCAACTACATTGTTTTCTCCAGATATACGTTTTATATCTGAAGTAAACTGCGAAATATAGCCCAGTTGTCGAGACTCTCGAGTTGAGTACTTGTCTGAAGATGAGCTTAAAGAGAAGGTAAGAGGTTTATAATCGGTGGAAAGAGTGACTTCTCGGCCTTCAATGGAATGTTGAAAGTGCTGTACCGCACAATACATGACTAAAATTTCCCTTTAAAAAGCGGTTTACCTCGATTCACTGCCTTGCAACCGTCTTGAGAAGAATGCTGAATGTTGTCGGCTGTTCTTTATCCAGTGTTGTAGGACTCCAATTACCTGTCCGGATACGTCTGCTGCGAAACTATTTGGCATGTGAGCATAGTCGCGTTTGCGATAGTTACCCCAACTGTAGAGGATGTTATTCCCTCGTTGTCGTCCAAAATCATGAATTTCCCACTCCAACGAAGTTGGTCTGTTGAAGGTCGCGTGAAAAACGCACAACTCGGCGTGAGCTGGTGATGAAAACTTACCAGGCCTTTGAATGCGCTTAGTTGCATGATTGTGGTCGGTTCTGGATAGTCCAAAATGGTCGCCAATTTAATTTTCAGTGAGCGAATGCTTTGGTCATCAAAATTATGTCCGAGAAAATATAGAGAGTTGGTGGTGATTTGATACTTGTGAATATTTACAGTGATGCCATGCTTTTGGAGTCGTTCGAAAACATGGCATAGTTGTTGAAATCGAGACGCTCTGTCGAGGCTTGCGATCAAGCAGTCATTTCTATATACGTGTACGTAGTTGAGACGATGAATTTCAGGAATTTTGTTCAGTATTTCCTAAGCCGAAAGGTATGAGTAAAAATTCATGCAGTCCGATGAGGTGATGATAGCAGTGTTAGGAATATTGTTATATGTTATATGTTTCAAACAAATCGATTTTTGCAAAAAAACGGTTGCGCTCTTTAAGGTAACTTTCGACCGGGAGTCCTTTTTGCATTCGGTTACTGATTATCACCAGTTAGACCATGTGCAAGCGAGATGTATATCGGATGTTCGATGACTGAATAATTCATGTGGTCGTTATTGGCCAAACTTGGCTTTTCGAGAGCTAATCAGCACGCTTTTGAGAACATAGGTGAACCTGTAGTCGTGACGTGCTGTATAACATTATTAATAGTGTTTATCACAGTTCGCTCAACTTGTCAAAAATTCATCTGTGAGCCGATTATGTGCTCAAAAGTGACTGGAGACAACCTAAAACCGGAAAAAATGTACACAAACAGATAAATTAATACTTTTGCATCAGGTCTATACGAATGATTTGTACAGAAATGTCTGCATCAACTAAAACCCATTTAATGGATTTGACTGAACCCATATCGCCTACCATATGAAACAATCGGTTTTCCATTTGCCGCCGGCAAATTGAGAACTAGTTCGTACGACCAGTCGTTACAACTTGCGCTAGGGTCGACGAGTTAGGTAACTTTCGTCATCACATCAGCGATGTACAACAGACGGTTATGTGTTAAACGGCTGTGGTTGCTATTACACGTGCTGGCTGTGAAGTGTCTTGAAGGGTTTTTCGCGTCGGCCAATTTGGAGGCCGAAAAACTTCTGGATTTCCTGTAGTTTCCAGAAGAATCAGTGTACTAGTAAAGCATAAACCTTATCACTATCGCTTCAAGACATTTCCACGAATGAACTGCTATTCACTTTTATCGATTTCATTTATTTAACGACCCTACTTGGAAAGCATTCTGTGAACCAACAAATGTTTTAATTTGTAGATCATGTCTGTAAACATGACGTGTACCTGCTAATGAAGAAATATATAATTATAATTGTGGTGCCAGCAACCATAAGGAATATCTGTCTCTTGTGATCTACAGACAAATCGTCGTGACGAGCTTCCTCGACGAGTTTGAGAGTGTTTGCGATTTTGGTGGATAAAACAATAATGTGTCACATTGTGACAGACGTATTTGACATCATTCTGTGATGTTAGAGGCTTTTCTTCGATAGAACAATCCTCGACGTTAAGGTTTCTGGAGATCTCCAGAACCCGATGAGCAGATGCAACCACTTCGTCCAAAGTGTCTTTTTGAAATGAGACGAGGACTATCTGCACCCAATGGGGAAATTTCGACAAAAAAAGCTTTATAAATGAGTACTTTTCAAACCTCCTTTGACTATTGACCTTATGCACTATTATCAACGATTCTGTTGTTCAATCATGTTACAGCTCGATGTTGCGGAAGAGTTGGTATATGCCTTGTCAGTCGGTTAGGTCTTCATGCTCAAGCATAGCATTTTTTCAAAGTTCCCTAAGGTCCAGAGATATCACTGGTAAACAAATTAGGTGTAACGTATATGTTGAAATCGAGTAGTAATGCATTCACTACTGCGAGGAATTGTGTGAAAAGGTTTGTCACGCCGTGCTGTGGAAGTCAGCTTATGCGTAGTAGAGTCAGGCTT